GCAGGAGCTGACAGGAGAGATCTATGTTGTTTATACACAGGTCTCTCCCTCTTCGGAGATACTCGGCGATCACCGGGTGCCGGTGAGTAATCACCGCCCGGGATCTGGCGAATGACAGCCAAGGCCATGAATGGTGCACACCCCCTACGAATATATACGTGATTTTTTGCACCTGTGCTGCCCTGTAGCAGTATTTCCGGTATAGGGCGGCATGGAAGCGGTTAATAAACAGCATCAGAGCAGGAGTGAAACTCTGCTGTGTTAGAGAGTGTTAAGAAAACCGTGATAATGCAAGAATTACATTTATTAAACATACACCTCAGCCTGCCGGTTTCTGGTAAAATCTGGACACAGAATTAGAGAAGCACTCTGAAGTCTCTGAGCTCCAACCGCTGTTTCTGGAATAGAAAGATGAAAACCCATCTGTCTCCACTCAAAACTGACATTCCACAGCCATTCATAGTGTAATCAAAATAACCCTGTGGTCATTTCTCCTTTGTTTTTCACACAGGCAGGGCCTTGAACTTGCCAAAAAATACAGTATACACATACAGTACAATATGTATAAAATGTGATAGGGGTTGAGGAATAGTTGCTTGCTTACTTACATATTGTACCTAGCCACTGCATAAGTTTTATATCTGCTTTGTGATAATCAGGGCCATATTAATCATTAGTCATGATAGGTTACATTGGCAACAAGGTGAGTTTCTCTATATAAATATTAGGCATATACACCTGTATATTTTTCATCAAAAGAAAATGCAATAATCTAATATAGACTTCAATTGTATCACCAGCCAATTTTTGTTTTTTGTTATTATTGGATGAAGTGAGGAAGGATCAGAACCTCTGGTGTTTTTTGCTCCTATTCGTGCTCCATTAAAAGGATTTTCCTGCATTTCTTGTTCTGAACAGGAATTAAAAGTAATTAAAACAGCAGCACGGATATATAAAGGTTTTTGTTAGAAGAATAGGAGAAAGCTAGTACCCCCTGCACACTTTTTATGGCTGTTTGTGTCCCTTTTGCAGATTTTTTCTGCTCTCCTGTCTGGAAAAACTATTGTTGTCTGGGTCAGAAAGTGAGGGGAAATCTCTAGCTGAGCCCTGAATTGTAAAAAAAATGAACAGAGGTTCTCATCCTCCCCAACTATATCCAAAATAAAAAAAGAGGTTTTTGGTTTGACGCAATCTTTCATTTAACATGAATTCTTTTTATTACATGTTGCTCCAATATTCTAAGCCAGGTTAGTACCACTAGTAAAAAGCTCTGTAAAAGAGGTGATTCTTGCAATGTTAATTTGTGTGCGAAAATTGTGCCTACAGCCTCCAGCAGTGGGAATGTGGTCCTGGTGATAGAAACTTCCCGTATTCTTTCCACAGTAATGACTGCTTTAAAGTTTTATTAACAACTGCAAGCTGAATGTGAGAACTGTGAAAAAAGTGCAAACGTGCTTTTTTTTTTATATGTGAGACTAAGAATATAGTTGTTATTCATTCCTACTTATAATGCAAATGCAAAGATAAGTGCCTTTATTAGTTTTTTCTTCTCTTTCTTCCCTATTTTTCATTACAAGTCAAAGCCACTTGTAAAGCATTTTCTAGCTCTAGACAGTCTTTGTTTTGCGACTGCTGAATAATGAAGAAAATATCACAAGAACGTCTTAATTCAATGTCTAGAATACAGTAAAAGAATACTCTCAAAATCATCTAAACGGAAAGAGATCAGCAACGTGCAGAAACCAGCACATAAAAAGGATACCTACATTTATGCATTAATGGCCACTTGCAAATTAAACTGAAATATGTTTCAGGAAATAACTGAGATGAAATCACCATCTGGCCTAAATTAGCCAAAACATTTTAATGGATCAGTCCATGCCTCAGAACTCAAATGCACAACATTTAACACAATTATGTAATGTTAGGTAGGTATTTAAAGGCTGATTAGAGTTCATTTTATTTCTTTGAAGGAGATCTTAGTTACAGCTGTAGCCCTGACCATTTGCAGATTCCAAAAAAACACCAACGTCCTAATTTTTCAAGGTGCGATATGCAAAAGTGGATATTCCAATTTTTCTTATCACTTGTGATAATAAAATTTGCTACATTAAAGTTGGAAACATTTCATACATTATTAAGGACTGGAATTTTACATTTAAAGGAGAAGTACAGCCAAAGCTTTTTTGGTTGTACTTCTCCTGTGGATCACAGGAGTGCAGTTCACTCTGCACTCCTGTGACCCATTTTCAGCTGACAGTGGGCTGAAGTCACCTAGGCGGTCCAAGCTGGGGAAAGATCCCGACTTTAAAGTTGGGATCCACCCCAGAGTCTGGAGTGGCACCTGACTCAGCCTCTCAGTGAGGTTCTGAGAGCCTGAGCCAGCCACTCCCTCCCTCTCCACATCCCAGTGCTCCAGTGAGCGCTGGAGGGGCAGAGCAGTCAGTGGTGACTGACAGTCACCACTCTCTGCTCAGAGTGGCTGTGAGAACTCAGTGGTCATGTGATCACTGAGTTCTAACACTTAGAGCAGGCGAGGTACAGATGCTGCACCAGACCGATGCTGCATCCACCTAGGTAAGTATAACTGGGGGAAAAAATTCAAACCCAAACTTCTTTTTTAAAAACATTTTTAATATTAGGAATAATGGAATAGTGTGTTTTATTTATGTTTAAGTGTCTTTAGTTATGGGGCTTATGGAGGTTTTTTTTTTAATATTTCAGTAAGGATTTGGAAAGTGAGGTGCCAAATGGACAACACAAACATGCAGGATGATTACTTATGCACATACTATAAGTTAGTATTGTAGGATTGTAAAATAAAAGCTCCAGAAATATGAATGTGTTGGTTTATCAAACATGGCTAAGTTTGGTGGTCAAAGTATTTTATGTCTGCAAATTTGTGACTTACTTTTTATGTCTGTATATTTTTGAAGCATCATTGTGCTCTGTGTATTTCTTTTAGATCTATGCAGTAATCCAGCGTGAAACTTTGCCTCTTTGCAGAACCTTCCTGTAATAAAGACCGGTCACTACTGCTCTCTCAACTTGTGTAAGATGACTGGTCTTGTATACACCCCCTCCTGTAGATCTCTTCAGTCAGCCTGTGGAGGGTGGAGCATCTGGATTCCTCCCATAGCTCTGGTCTTTGCACAGGCTATGTAATGTTATTGCTACTTTAACAAGTGTAGCCAGGAGTTTGGCTAGAGACAGAGACATTTACGACACTGTGCTGCAGTGCTGTCTGTGCTCCCAATGGACTTCAGCTGAATAGGTTAACATTGATGAAGTTGAAGAGATGAAGTTCTGGAATGAAACTTTATTATGGCAGTTAATGGACAAATGGACTACAATTCCTAATGTGAGCTGGGTATAAAGAGAGAGAGCTGTAATCTTCACAGGAGGAATACCAAGGAGCTCTTTCTTTGCTGCGAGGAGAACAAGATGCACAAATCGCTGCTCCAGTGTACACCTCAACCTGCCACAAGCCTGCGGCAGTGTACTGAGGACTGGAATCACTCCAGACAGACCCAAAAGTGAGCTAACATCTGCTTTCATAAGCCTGTTGCTGCTAACATAGACTGGGCACATAGGGATTGGCCATCTAACTAGCAGCATTATTTAATGTATGCAGACTCTATTGGGACTTTATTCATGTGCATCACCATAAAGAATGGGCCTCAACATTAGCCGGCTGAAGAAATAGGGCTAAAGACTGCTCATTCAGATTGCTGCTTCTACAGAACTTTGCCTATTGGCCGAAGTAAGAGGTATCTCTTTAGGGGGTTTTAAATTTCATCGCTGCCATTCATATAGAGTGCACTCTAAAGTGCCTGCTGATTACAGAGGAGTTATCACAATATTGATTTTTTTGCTATTACTGTTTTCTAATGCCATTAGTTATTGCTGATTTTGTTGATTACCAGGTTTAATCTAACTTAGCTGCATAGAACTCCTTTCTATGCTGCTCTAGCCTAGTGAACATATTGTCTAGTGAGCTGGGATTGACCTAATAATTTACTTAACTTACTCATTTATGTTCATACGCCTATTTACTACAACCCATTACAATATATTGGGTTCATTTACCACTGACCAGTTTGATGTTTGCTTTTTGATACTGAACCTTAGTTGTGTTCAGGGTATCTATGTTTGTACTCCAAGTAGCAGCGCAGTATTTTTGTTTTTACATTTGCTTAAACTGATGTGTCAGTGGGGCTGAGGTCGTTCTCAGAGCAGAGGCAGAAGAACTGAGAACCCAATCTACCAAGTGGCTCCTACCGGGGTAGCACTACACAAGGTAATACCTGGATTTTTAAATACATTTGGTGTACACAAAGAGGATTTATAATTTGTGTGCCTTTTGAGGATTATATTTAACCACTTGCCTACCGGGCACTTATACCCCCTTCTTTACCAGGCCAATTTTCAGCTTTCAGCGCTGTCGCACTTTGAATGACAATTGCGCGGTCATGCGAGATTGTACCCATATGACATTTTTAGCCTTTTTGTCTCACAAATAGAGCTTTCTTTTGGTGGTATTTAATCGCCGCTGGGCACTTTACTTTTTGCGCTATAAGCAAAAAAATGTGAAAAATGTGAAAAACAATTTTTCATTGTTTCTATTATAAAATTTTTCAAACAGGTAATTTTTCTCCTTCACTGATGTGCGTTCATGAGGCGGCACTGATGGGCACTAATAGGCGGCACTGATGGGGAATGATAGGCAGCACTAATGGGAACTTATAGGCAGCACTGATAGGCAGCACTAATGAGGTGGCACAGATAAGCGACACTGATAGGCAGCACTAATGAGGTGGCACGGATAGGCGGCACTGATAGGTGGCACTGACTGGCATCACTGCTGGGCACTGACTGGTGGCACTGCTAGGCATTGACTGGCACAACTGCTGGGCACTGACTGGCACAGCCACTGGGCACTGACTGGTGGCACTGACTGGCAGCACTGCTGGGCTGCACTGATGGTCACAGCTGGGTGGCACTGGTGGGCACATGTGGGTGGGCACAGGTGGTTGGCACTGCTGGGCACAGGTAGGTGGCACTTCTGAGGACAGGTGTGTGGCACTGCTGGGTGGCACAGGTGGGTGCACTGCTGGACACAGGAGGGTGCACTGTTGGGCACAGGTGGGTGCACTGCTGGGCACAGGTGGGCGGAACTGGTGGGTGGCACTGCTGGGCACCGATCATCAGGGCACTGATCATCAGTGCCCTGATGATCAGTGCCGATCCCTGCTCTGACAACTGCCGGTTCTCTGTAGTACTTTCCTCACGCTCTGACAGCGTGAGGAAAGTGCAGCCGAGAACTGGCAATTGCATTTCCCGGTGATCAGCGTGTCTTTGGACACGGCTGATCACGTGGTAAAAGGCCGCTGTGATTGGCCTTTTACCACATCATCTGATCAGCTGTGTCCGTAGGACACAGCGATCACAGAGATCGCCAGGTGCGCTCCCCCGGGGGGCACAGGAGAGCACGCTCTGGGAGTACGTCATATGACGCCCTCCCAGAACTGTCCGGCCGCAGTGTAGCCATCATTCGGCTATCTGCGGTTGGCAGGTGGTTAAATGAAAGTTTTTGTGCTTAGAGTTCAGCTTTTACCACATATACTTGTGTGTGACATGTCTTTCTTTTGCACGTTGAATATTATCCATGTATTGTGTAACCTCTGCTAACAGCCTCTGTATTTACCAAATGCTGGTATGTGTTATTGACTTTTATTGTGGCTCAAGTATGCTACTAATACTGAAGAGTTGCTATAGTGTTGTCCTTTGTCCTCCATATGTTGCTGAGCACATTTCACACACCCAGGCCACCATTCTTCACAAAATTACAGTCACCAACTTGAGACATTAACAGAAATGTCTTACAGGTACGTCAAGCAATCAAACTAAAAAATCCCAGCGCCAATCAAAGAAAGTATACAATTATGCAGCTGTGCACCAGTGAAAACCACCAATAATGAATAACACAAAAAACAGCGCAAAAATTAAGCGAAGTACTACTTTTGCAAAAGATCATTTCCTGTTTCCTGCCACTTGTACTGGAGACTTCCTGTACAGATTTAACATTTCTTTCTCTCTGCTATCCCCCATTGTTGTACTCCATCCCTCCCCCCACCCCTAGAATTCTACATTTTTATCTTGTGTGTCTGTTTCTCTTTCCCTTTGTTGTCATCCTATGCCCTCACACTGAGGGGCAGATACACACACGCAGTCACTGGAGACATGCACAGAACACACTCAGCCACACCACACAGACAGACAGACACACACACACACACAACAAATACAGTCAGGAAACATATAAACACAGCTGGGCACACAGCACATTATCACACCAATACTTTACAACTCAAAATATTAAGGTGGTCAGTTTTGTTAAAAGTGACCACAATTTCTGCTCTTTCCATGATAATGATAATTGCCAGCATTGCTTGACATGTATAACACAAAAAACAGCGCAAAAATTAAATAAATAAAAATAATCACAAATAAATAAATGTCCGTGCAAAAAATATATATATATATATATATAATATAATATTTCAAACATAAGTCCTTATTTTCCCAAAAGGATTTTCAAGACAATGTTCCAAAATGTGCTTCCACCTAATCACCACGTGAAAAATAATATTGACCGCACTCACCAGATGGAGGTGAGTAATAAGCCTCATAGGATATAAGGGATCCTATAGCCCCTCAGGAGGAACTCAAATCTCCTTCTTCACCCTGCTTAGATACAGCAATCGACTCCACTCTACTTCTCCATGGAATCCTCAATAATGTGCAAGGAAAGAAAGGCTACATAGTGTAATACTGCCACTCAATACCATATAAATCGATAGAATAAGGACACTCACATGTTTCAATAAAATAACAGGCCTTGTTTAATAGCCTCAAAGGCTTCAAAGGAACAAGTTTCCAAATTGTAAATATAGGGATCTCACGCTTTAAGAATCACTGTAGAAGATGACCAGCTTTCCACATCTAAAATGACCGCTTGAACTGCAAAGGTCGGCGTGCGTTCCAAATACCGGAAGTGACGTAGGCCAAGATGACGGCAGACCAGAAGTGCGTCAACGCGTTTCGCCCCACCCACAGGGCATTCTGAAGGCTTACGCCACTTCCGGTATTTGGAACGCACGCCGACTTTTGCGGTTCAAGCGGTCATTTTAGAGGTGGAAAGCTGGTCATCTTCTACAGTGATTCTTAAAGCGTGAGATCCCTATATTTACAATTTGGAAACTTGTTCCTTTGAAGCCTTTGAGGCTATTAAACAAGGCCTGTTATTTTATTGAAACATGTGAGGCTTATTACTCACCTCCATCTGGTGAGTGCGGTCAATATTATTTTTCATGTGGTGATTAGGTGGAAGCACATTTTGGAACATTGTCTTGAAAATCTTTTGGGAAAATAAGGACTTATGTTTGAAATATTATATTATATATATATATTTTTTGCACGGACATTTATTTATTTGTGATTATTTTTATTTATTTAATTTTTGCGCTGTTTTTTGTGTTATACATGTCAAGCAATGCTGGCAATTATCATTATCATGGAAAGAGCAGAAATTGTGGTCACTTTTAACAAAACTGACCACCTTAATATTTTGAGTTGTAAAGTATTGGTGTGATAATGTGCTGTGTGCCCAGCTGTGTTATATGTTTCCTGACTGTATTTTTGTGTGTGTGTGTGTGTGTGGTCTGTCTGTGTGGTGTGGCTGAGTGTGTTCTGTGCATGTCTCCAGTGACTGCGTGTGTGTATCTGCCCCTCAGTGTGAGGGCATAGGATGACAACAAAGGGAAAGAGAAACAGACACACAAGATAAAAATGTAGAATTCTAGGGGTGGGGGGGAGGGATGGAGTACAACAATGGGGGATAGCAGAGAGAAAGAAATGTTAAATCTGTACAGGAAGTCTCCAGTACAAGTGGCAGGAAACAGGAAATGATCTTTTGCAAAAGTAGTACTTCGCTAACAGGTGTTTGAACAGCTTTAAAATTGGCTATAGACACTTTGTTTAATCACTGGCCCTCCAGAGGATGCACCCCGCTTCCTGACCAGGCCATTTTTTTGCTATACGGCACTGCGTTACTTTTAACTGACAGTTGCTCAGTCATGCAACACTGCACCCACATTAAATCTATGTCCTTTTGTCCCCACAAATTGAGCTTTCTTTCGGTGGTATTTGATCGCCTCTGCATTTTTTATTTATTGCACTATAAATAAAAAAACACCTACAATTTTGAGAAAAAAACAATATTTTTGACTTTTTCCTATTAACCATGTCCAGGAAAATTTTTTTAAAAAATCACAATTCATCATAAATTTAGGTCAAAATGTAACTGACAGTTGCTCAGTCATGCAAACACTGCACCCACATTAAATCTATGTCCTTTTGTCCCCCACAAATTGAGCTTTCTTTCGGTGGTATTTGATCGCCTCTGCATTTTTTATTTATTGCACTATAAATAAAAAAAACACCTACAATTTTGAGAAAAAAAAACAATATTTTTGACTTTTTCCTATTAACCATGTCCAGGAAAAATTTTTTAAAAAATCACAATTCATCATAAATTTAGGTCAAAATGTATTTTGCTACATGTCTTTGCTAAAAAAAAATCCAAATACGTGTAAATTCATTGGTTTACCTGAAAGTTATAGCGTCTGCAAATGGCTGTATATATACTGGGATTTTTTTTTTTATATACTGGTAATGGCGGCAATCAGCGACTTATAGCGGGACTGCGGCGGGCATGCTGACACTGGGGGGAACTGACTAACTGTCAGTGACATCTCCAGTGACACTAATACAGTGATCAGTGCTAAAAAAAAGAACTGATACTGTACTAATGACACTGGGCAGGAAGGGGTTAACATTTGGGGCGATCAAAGGGTTAACTGTGTACTGTGTGCTGTTTTACTGTGTGCTGTGTGTGTTTTTACTGTGTTAGCACATTGCTTTGTATTGCTCTGCTATACAGAGCAATACAAAGTAGTGTGCAGGAGCTGACAGGGAGAGATCTGTATTGTTTACCTACAGACCTCTCCCCCGTCAGTGATATACTCGGCGATCGCCAGTTGCCGACAGGGAATCTCCAGCAAGCGGTTAAGAAACTGAATGAATGAAGATCTTTTCCTTCCTGCTAGCTGTCACAATTTAAAAAAAAAGCCGTCCGAATCATTCATTCACAGTATTCTGTGAATGAATGAACTACAAGTCCTGACAGCCTATGTGGCTGTCAGCTTGTAGTCCTCAATTAACTACCACGGTGCTGTGGAGCGCCGTGGTAGTTCATTGATTCTTCCTGTCAGTATGTATACGGGATGTATAGGCAAGCAGCTATACTGACAGGTCTGCAGGAGACCTGCATGGCACCAGTGATCTGCTGATCGCTGGTGCAATGCTTTAGAGGCTCCAGAAACAAAAAATAATAAAGGCACATTTTTTTACCTGCAAAAAATGTGCATTTGCTATTTTTTGTAAAAAGATGAACTTGTCCTTTAAGCATCCCTGCCTTGTATTGATGGCGACGTTAGCTGTTATCTGCATGTTTGCAGCAACTTGTTTATTCTTCATTCAACCTTGAGAATGCCAGCCCACATTATTCTTAAAAAAACATTGTATTACATAATTTTAAACCATATTGGATACATTTAGAAAGGTAAGAGCCTTTACTAATAAACAATGTGGAAACACGTGTACCATTGTACACATTGCTGCAGCATGTAAAAACACGTGGTGTTCTTGTAGGAACCATTCATGGCACCCCAACACACCTTCCTTACACATGTGGATTGCAGTGCACCACGACACATGATAACCTTTTACCAAACATTGTGGTGCACTGCATGTAAAAGTAAAAAAAAAAAGTATATGCACCCTTCAAATGTAATTTGTGAGGGGAAACTTTTTTAAAAAACCCTTGTTGCACACACCATTCAAATGAATGAGCTTACTAAGACAACACATTAATGCTATTGCACATCATAAAAGGAAAACATAAATGCATAAGTGCTGGTGTTTGTTGTGTGCATGTGCTGAACTGCATTTTTCACAATACATCACAGTTCTTATATTTTTCTTTTTTTTGTACTTTTTTTTTAAGTTACATTAATTTAATGTTACGTATGGCAGCACATTGGAATGCATTGCCATGCATGTAGTGTGCTGCTTTGTGATAAAATGCCTGGATTATATTATTGTAATGCACACCAAGGCCAGCACTCACATGGCACTGCAGATCGGAGATTACAACAAGGCATAAATCTGATGCCAAACTCCAGATTTATAGCATAAGTGGCTTATTTACAATTTTGCATA